TAGTAAAATCCCCTCCATTTAATTTTTTATTGAACGGCCACTGCAGTAAAGAAATGAAATAATCCTGTGTTGCAAATAGATTTTTCTTTTACCTCATCATCTGCTTTATGTCTTTTAACCAATTTCATAATCTGGAAAATAAAATGACATTGATGTTATATTTACAGAGACTGACTACAAGTACATTTATTTTTGTATAAATTTTGATAAGAGCTCCTGTATGATATGTCTGACCTCCTCTGAGAGTTCCTGTACTCGTTTCCTGTCCTTGGTGGAGTTACTACTGGAGCTCTGTAGAGTTATTCTCATCTTGGCCATGCTGTTCTCCATCTCCGAGTACTCCGATCTCACTCGGTTCAACTCCTTGGCTGTCCTCGTGTAGTTCTTCTGAGCATCCTGTGAATATATACACATTTTAGAAACCCTATTGGAAATTCTTAATAATGTATCAGCTGTTTTTCTTGATTATTTCCATGCACTTACTTCCAGTGCTTTGTCCTTTGCCCAGATCATCTCCTTACATTGCTCAATCTCTTTATGAAGAGCATCGCTGGACTTTTTCATTTTTACAAGCTTTTCAATAGAAATAGAATTTTTGTGAGTTACGAAGTTTTAAAGAATTTTTACAGATTTTGTTTCATAGATATTTACCGGTATATTGATGTTAATACATTGTACATGTATTTAGTGTACACAGTGCTTATATAGAGGTGACTCACTTCCTCTGTGGTGTCATCCAGGCGTTTCTTGTACTCAGTCAAAGTCACTCGTAGAGTCTCCAGGACAGAGGATGGGGCCGTACTTTTACTATCCTTCTTACTCTCTGAAATAAAAAATAACATCATTGAATTTCCTCATAAACCATCATATCATTACAATCTCTTTAAAAATTTAAATAATTAAATTCCTCATCAAAAAAGGATACTGTTTGACAATTTGTAATCTGTAGTTTTTCTGACCAGAAATGAGCCTGTGTGCCCCAGAATTTGTTTGACAATAGTTCATCTGATGTTTTGTCACAATGGATTTAATACTGTGTGTTCCTGTAGAAGTGACTTACTAGATGTTGAGGCCCGTTTGGGTTTTTCGTCCACCTGGAAGTTGTTCAGTAGCAGCTCCAGCTCCCTCATACTTCCTCCATACGTCTCCTCCAGGTAAATCTGCCTCTTCTTGGCCTGAAATCAAAAGGTAACTCATACAGTAATTAGTATAACCTTCAACAACCTGGTGACAAATATTGATATCCGCATGTCTAGTTAATTAATATAAAGTAATAACAATATACATGCAACTTACAAGTTACACAAAAGCCTGAAAAGATTTGCGTGAAAAAACTCTTGAACAGTCAACTTCTCAAATAAAATTCTCTTGTTTAAAGTTTATGAATTTTTTTTATAGGTAAACACATATACCGTAATTTTCGGGTTATAGGTCGATACTTTTTTTCTCAGAACCGCTGGGGTCGCCCAATATACAAATTCGACCTTTCTAAGGCTCAAGTTTACGAAAAATGCAAATCGGTGCCACTTTTATAACTTTTTTCATTATTTTACGCAGAAAAATTAATGCTTAGGTAAACAATAAAATATTTATTCTATAGCTTTCTTACAAAATAAATTCCATTAAATATCCGTTGATGACAAAGGAAAAAACTGTGCTTCATCAAGTTAATAATTCCTCAACGTGTTATCCATTGCCATCATGCGGTAGCCATCTTGTGAAGTTAGCAAGTTGCTATCGTTTACTAAAAGTAAAACCGCAACCGCGTATCAAAATTTAAAATACGGAAAATTTTTCAAGATCACAAGTGTAGTGTTTTACCATTAATAAGTAGATTGATAAATTGAAATAGTATTAATTTTTTTATTGTAAAAGTCTTATATTTATTTTAATGTAAAATGAGTGAAATAAATTGTTGCTAGTTGGCTTCTAACGAATTTTAATTGTCTGACAGATAAAAGGATTTACACTGTGTACACGCAAAGGTTTCAACACCTGTGCTGGTTTAATACCCGCAGGGCATGATTAGCAAATCCACGTGCCGTTATAGGGTATTAGTGTTATACATCATTGAACAAACAAAGCCAAATTCATAATGACTGTCAAATTGTGGATGTACCGGTACTCTCAATTAAATTTATAAATTAAACTTACAGCGTGGTAATATTATTTCAATTCTTTACTGTTGCTTTATATATACATTCAATGGTCGTTTGCGGGTTTTAGCAAATCCCTGAAGAACAACCAGAAGTCTCTGTCGAGACTGTAGGTCTACTGGTTTATACTTAAAACAAAGGAAGAGAAAAGTAGCAGTTGGGACTGGAAACTTTAAATCAGCAATAAATAGAAAAATGATCCTTGCCACTCATCAAAATAAAAACCAATGCACAGAATTATGTATCTTAGTATAGTCTACTTGTGTGCCAAGTTATACTGAAATCAGACCAAAACTGCAGGAGGAGTAGCATTTTGAAAGAATTTCACAGAAATTTCTATTTTTAGTAACCACGGCAACATTGTTCATTGAAATCAAAAACCGATGCACAGAATTATGTATCTTAGTGTAGTCTACTTGTATGCCAAGTTATATCAAAATCAGACCAAAACTGTAGGAGGAGTAGCATTTTGAAAGAATTTCACAGAAATTTCTATTTTTAGTAACCACGGCAACACCGTTTATCGAAATCAAAAACCGATGCACAGAATTATGTACCTTAGTGTAGTCTACTTGTGTGCCAAGTTATACTGAAATCGGACCAAATCTGTAGGAGAAGTAGCATTTTGAAAGAATTTCAAAGAAATTTCTATTTTTAGTAACCAAGGCAACACCATTCATCGAAATCAAAAACCCATGCACAGAATTATGTATCTTAGTGTAGTCTACTTGTGTGCCAAGTTATATTGAAATCGGACCAAAACTGTAGGAGGAGTAGCATTTTGAAAGAATTTCACAGAAATTTCTATTTTTAGTAACCACGGCAACACCGTTTATCGAAATCAAAAACCGATGCACAGAATTATGTATCTTAGTGTAGTCTACTTGTGTGCCAAGTTATACTGAAATCGGACCAAATCTGTAGGAGGAGTAGCATTTTGAAAGAATTTCAAAGAAATTTCTATTTTTAGTAACCATGGCAACACCGTTCATCAAAATCAAAAACAGATGCACAGAATTATGTATTTTAGTGTAGTCTACTTGTGTGCCAAGTAATATTGAAATTGGACCAAAACTGTAGGAGGAGTAGCATTTTGAAAGAATTTCAAAGAAATTTCTATTTTTAGTAACCACGGCAACACCGTTCATCGAAATCAAAAACCGATGCACAGATTTATGTATTTTAGTGTAGTCTACTTTTGTGCCAAGTTATATTGAAATCAGACCAAAACTGTAGGAAGAGTAGCATTTTGAAAGAATTTCACAGAAATTTCTATTTTTAGTAACCACGGCAACACCGTTCATCGAAATCAAAAACCGATGCATAAAATTATGTATCTTAGTGTAGTCTACTTGTGTGCCAAGTTATATTGAAATCGGACCAAAACTGTAGGAGGAGTAGCATTTTGAAAAATTGTTTACAGACAGACAGACAGACAGACGGACGGACAGACAGCCGGACGGACGACGGACGCATTACTATCGCATAAGCTCTTCTGGTCTCTGACCAGTAGAGCTAAAAATGAAAATGGCGGACATCGAAGCAATTGTCGTCCACCGGTAAATGACTGACTGAATAAACTATATTAGGAATGTGTCCAAGTTGTTCTGAAATCAGAATTATTATTCTTTGATCTCGGGTATTTCCCGAATTATAGCTTAAAATAAGAAACATATTTACGTGTTATTTTTGCCTCTGGTTTAACAACAGTATGAAACTACGGAGTTATTAACAGGCAAGTTGGAGAAAAAAAAGTAGTAACACAATTCAAAGAAGTTTTAACTACATTTTTTTAAAACTTTATTTAAATGCTGTACTCATTAAAATACCTGTTTGTTTTCTTGATACGTTCATGTCACGGAATTGACCCGGTAATTTTAGAGGTTTACCTGTTCTGATACGTTGTATCTGCGTAAGAATCTTTAGAAAACGGGAAACAAAGCCTCGTCCTATATAGTAAGTTCGTCCTATCTTAGGATTTTTCAAAAATTAAGGCTGAAATGAGCCTTTCGACCTATATACCCCATCGACCTATAACCCGAAAATTACGGTAATAATGAATCTGGTACTGTACTAAGATTTATTAACACTGACCTTAGATAGCTCCTCTTTGAGCTCGTTAAAGTTTTTCTGATGGACCTCCAGTTCCTTTGACAGGTTTAGTATGACGTTTTTCTTGTTCTCCACCTCTGATGTCAGCTGTCTCTTCACAGAACTATACTCCTTCTCCAGCTTATCCAGCTTAGTGTTTGTGTCCTTGTTATTCCTCCGCTCCTCCTCGTACGAATGCTCCAGCTCTCGGATCTGTTTAGTGAGGCGGTCTATTGCCTTGTTAGCTTCGTCATTGGCTGACTTCTCTACCTCCAAAGCCCCCTCCAAGTCCCTTACTCGAAGCTGATAGAGAATAAATCAATAGAAATTATATGTCAAGGATAAGGTACCCTACATTGTTATAACAGTACTCTTTTGTTTTTGTAGGGAAATATTATTTTTCAGTACCTGTATGATTTCTGAATTGAACTTTGTTTCTAGATGTGCTGCCCTCTCAGCTTCAATGTTTTCCTCCACTGTACGGAGCCTCTGTAGGGACATCTACACACAAAATAATAAAGTCATTAACAGAATCTCTAATTAGTGAACTGTACTTGATTTAACAATACTTGTATTTTAATCTTTACCATATGATATACATGCATCACAACTCGAGAATTGTATAAAACATTTATTCAAATTAGTTCCCCTTTTCTGATACCTCTAAATCCTTCTTCAACCTATCTTCTCTTTCCTTTGCATATTCAATTTCTGTTAAAGTTCTTCTTAGGTTTTCTGTTTGATTTTTTCTTTCACCTAAGAAAGAAAAAGAAAATGACAGTAACTTGGTAAATAATCAATTCTATTCCTACTTTGAACAATTCTTCCATATAATTTTGTAATGAATTTACTTAGTAATTAGATATTTAATACAGTGTGTATGAAGAAAAGCAATGAAACACGTGTACTTACTTTCTAGTTCTTGTATTTTCTCTGAGAACTCAGATATGGCACTGAAATAAATAGAAAATACATTGAAAACTGATTAATAGGGATGTTGTGTTATCCAGAACATTGTCTAAAACAATGAAAAATTAAAATTCCTTTAGCTAACTTCAATTGTTTAAGATGTTGTCTTATCCAGACGTATGATTGTCTGCAAAATTCCTACCTACTCTGATTCTGTGTAACTGACTTCATAAAAGAGTACTGAATACTGTAGCTCAGTAGACATGTATGTGAATATCGCAAATATGGTTCAACTATACTGATACTCAAAGATAGTAAGGAGCTGTATTACAATGAGTACAGTACTAATGTAGTATTTACCTTTCATGTTGTAAAACAAGAGAATCCAGTTTGTCTCTCTCTGCTCTCAGTATATCCAGCTCTGTGTGACATTTTGACACTGAATGATTCTAAAGAAAAAAGAAATTCACACTCACAATTTATACTTCTGAATCAAATAATTCATAGATATCTTCTAGATTATATTTATGATATTTCTGCAAACATTTACCAAATTAATAAAAAATAACTGAATTGGTCCACAACATACACTTATTACACCAAAATCTTTCCTCATTGTAAAGCAAGATCTTACTTTCTCCTCAATGTATAGCAAAATGTTGTTCTCCTCAATACTCATCAAAATAACTATCTCCTCAATTTTCATGAAAATCTTACTCTCTCCTTATAGTCACTAAAATTCTCTCTCCTCAATGTTCACCAAAATCTTACTTTCTCTCCTCAATGTTCACTGTAATCTTAGTCTCTTTCTTCAATGTACAACAAAATCTCACTCTCACTCCTCAATGTTCTAAAAATCTTACTCTCTACACTCTTAGGCCAGGCCCTGCCGTCACCAACATCCTTAATTGGATGAGCACACCAAAATCTAACTCTTCTTAAAATTCAACAAATATTCACCAAAATCTCTTTTTACTCTCTCTCCTTAGTAATAAACCATAATCTTACTCTCTCCTCAATGCTCATCTTGAGCTGAGCCTCTGTTTCCTTTGATCCTTGTTTTTCAATCTCTAACTGATGCTGGGTATCCTGCAAGTCCCTTGTCAATTCCGAAATTTTAGCTACAAAATGATCAGTCAACTTAATAAAGATTCTAAAGAGTTTGAATTTTAAATCTCCACAAAATCAGTAGTTTCTCACACTGTTAATTTAATTCATAATAATATGGCCCACCTTGTAATTGGTCCTTGACATCAGTAAGCTTTGTTTCTTTCTCATAGGAGGAGCTCCTTTGGTGGTTGATTTCTCGCTGACATTTTGTGAGTTCAAACTCTAGGTTTTGTCGAGTGGCCTCCCCTTTCTCCAGCTGTGACCTCAATTTGGCGACCTGGCTCTCCAACTCAGAAATCTGGAAATATACATTGAGACACACTCTTTATGTCATGCCCTAGTTTAAATACCCTATATTTTTTTATGTCAGTGACGCACACTACATGTACATGAACTTTCTTATACTGTATGAATTAATGTAGTTTATGGAACTCTACTGTCTAAACGCTTGGTTACAGTAAAATTTGTACACTGAAAAACGCACACACAAATATATACCTCTGCATTTGAACGAGTGGCTGCTTCAAGTCTTTCTTTCTCTACTGCATTTAATCTTCTGCGCACTTGAGACAGGGATTCTGTAATAGATATTAATGTGGTGTATTGATAGAAAACTTATGCATAAAGTATTTTCAAATCATAGATCTTCAGAAATGCTTTTTGATAAAATTCTTACTATCAAAATTAGAATTTCACAATGATTTTCAACGTTTTTAAGAATAAAAAATACACATGTGTTATGCTTTGTTTTTTTTTTTTTTTTTGCTGAAAATATTCTAGTAGTCATATATAAATAGATCTATATTAATTCATAAACAAATTGCTTGGATCACTATCTGTGATTTTTTTTTAAATAACTAAAGATGAAATAAGTTCAGAAATCCATTTAATTAGTCCTCATCCTATATTGAGGCAGTACAATGAGACCAGCTGACCTTGTTCGGACTGGAGGTCAAGGTTGAGTTGTTTGACCTGTAGGCGGAGCTGATTGTTCTCCAGTCTGTATTTATTGACGTCGTCGTTCTGTATCGGAGATCGAGAGAGCGACATCTTCCAGTCGGCAGTCACGTTCCTGTAATTATTGGAGGTGTCCTCTGGCTTGGGCTATAAAAAATAAGTCACATGAACTACAACAGAATTAGCTTAGAGTAGATGCTACCTAAGTAATTAATTTAAATTATCTCACAAGCAGGCGTTTTCGTTTCCATAAATCTTTTCTGTTTTCCATCACTTCTGCTGTTTCTAAATTACTACTAAATCTTGTAAAATATCTAACTTAAGTGACCAAATTTCGAAAAACTAATGTAAAAATCGTGCAGAACTTTGTTTACTTTAAAATGGTTTACTCAACTACCTGTAATAAGATGACTATTTGTACATTTTAGTGTCCCATAGATCTGTTTATTATTTATCACTAACTTTTGTAAAGATTTAATCTTATAAGATTACAAAATAAATATTTCAAGGTGTCAATAGCAAAGCATATCAGCTGTTTCTTATCTTGTTTATAAAATAACAACAAAAGTTTTAACACCTGTACTGTGACTTTACAATCAATGAATCATTTATCAAAGAATGTCTGACACAATATTTTCTCTCTCTTTGCCCACAAATGCACTAGTGTTTAGAGTGTTATTTGGGCATAGATAAAGCAATGCTAATACTGTTTATTGACTTAAAAAATAACAGATATATAGTTAATAATTATGCAGAAAGAAAACATTGATAAAATGCAGATGACATTTTTTGTAATTATTGATTTATTAAGCTCAATTGAAATTCAAAATAAGTCCATGATATAATTTTTGTTAGTGTTAAAGGCAAAAAAAATATTTAAAAAACATGCATATTAAGTTCTTTTTCAAGCAGTCAGACAATATGAATATTTTCATGCAAATTTAATTACAGAAACCCAACAAAGCAAAATAGAATGAAAGAAACAGTGACAATAGCAATATATACCATATAATCCCTATTAACCGCCCTGGGCAAAAAGGGGGTGGTTAATTTGGTATTCTCTTTATAATATTTAATGTCTCATAATTTAGCTTCGAAAAATCTTTTGGAAAATAAAAGTAAATTCAAAGAACCACTAAAACAATTTCTAACTTTACATGAAGATAATCTACCCAAAATGGTAAATTATATGTTAATTGATTCATTTTCCACTGAGAAATTGGTTAAACGACGAGTTTCATTTTCACTTTTTTCAAATTTTGGCAGACTTTTCATACCATTCTAGATGATTTTAATCACTTTACAGGGGGCCCTTATTACCTGAAAATTGAAAAATGACCTAGGGGGCGCTTATAGGGGCAGGGGCGGTTAATAGGAATTATACGGTAGCTTGAATTGAAATTATACATGTAATCATATTTTCTATAGAAGTTTGCCGTAAATATTCTTGGTCCTCTTATCATGCTTTTCGATCGCTACGAGTCAGACTAAGCAATATTACTGGTATTTTGCAGTATGACAGTTTTGTGAAATGGCTATGGATCGAGTCTTAAGATAACCAACTAGTAGGTACCGGTATGTGCAACATTGGCCATTATCTGCCCAAAACTTAAACTTTGATCATGTTGATAAAAAATTCTATAATTACAATTGCATGTATATTAAATGTGGGAAAATATTGTTGGACATCATCAGTAATTAGGATATATTAAAAAATATGTAAATTCTAAAATGTTCATGATTTGGAGAGAATAAATAGTATTTCTTCAATTCAATGTGCAATATAATGTCAGCGTCAGCGTCATATGATATTACTGAAATTGGACATGCCTGAGTTCTAAAGTCAAAATAATAACAAATTTTGCACATTTCATTCTCAAAAAAAAATTTATAGAAATCAAAACAGTTTGATGGAGATCAACTAAAATTGTTGTTTAGTCAAAAACAAATTGTAATTTGTCATTTTTCTAAACAGCATGCCCACACTCATATGAAAATTGGGTCACGAAAAGGAGGAGGGGTGGTTGTGACATTACCACAAATAGTCTGGTCAATATGATTCTACAGGTGGTAAATAGATTGTGAACATTTAGAAAAATTCATGCTTTCAGAGAGAGAAAGACACATATTTAACTATTTTGTTTACTGAAAAGGAAATCGTAAAAAAAATTGTATCTTGCATTTTACTTAGATAATCATTCTAAATATATCCAAATGATACAGTCTGCAGAATCAGATGTTTAAGGATACCATAAGCCACACATATGATATTACAACACTGAAATAAATATTGACTTACCCTACCCCTGTAAAAACTACTTGATGGTGGACAAAGGCCTCCAAAGTACTGTCCAAATATGTTATAATACATGTATGTAGAACTTTTTTAATTTTAATGAAATAGAATATTCAGTTTATATTGAATGTTCACAAATATAATACAGTCTTGTTTTAGTCACTGTAATTGAAGACTCATTTTCCCATATTATGATTGGGTTACTTTATTTGTTCTACTTAATGCATTCCAATTAAATTGTCTGAGCTGTATGTCAAGTTCAGACAAAACCTGAATACACTACTATATCAATAGGAGGAGGATGGGATTACAAGCTTATTAAAAATACTACATGAGTTAAAACTGTACAATTTCTCAGACCAACGATGAGAAATGAACAAAAATGTTGGCCAGATACCCCCTTTTAAAAACATAAATCAGCAGTGGAACTTTGTGTTGAATAGTTTGTTGATCAAACCAAAACACCAAATATCTTATAATAGTATATATGTATCGTGTATTCATAACCTACCAACTGCTCATTGGAACTTGGGAATTCTTCTTCCTCTGCATTTGTGCTTTCTTGTGAGTCCTGTCCTTCCATGTCTCCCAAAAGCTCAAACTCATTTGTGGGGCTTTTTACTTCCTCCATCTTACTAATAAACGCAAGACGTGAATGTTGATTTATTTATTCTTTGAATAATCAATTATATCTAAATGTGCATAGGAATGTTGTTTGATTTGCTGTAACTTGTGAACAAGTGGTTCACAAGTGGCTGTAATGTTTTATGCAAACAGTGGTGGTATATAGCTAGCATTAATTTTTCAGAGAAAGATTGGTGTTTCCTTTTTGATATTTATATGCAACATTCACAGCAAGCTATAGCCGAGTAATATTCTATTCAGGCATTCACATAATACATTCTTCAAACAGGTTGAGACAAAAATACCTATCTTAGTATAATGGCCCATTCGAATAATATATCCTAATAATATTTAGTATTATTTACAACTAACTTGCAAGAAGATGGATAATTAGATTCCTTTTTTTTTTAAATCTACATCATATTCAGCAACTTTTAGTATGTGTTTCTTTAACCTCTCATCTTGCATGATTGATTCCTTTGTGGTGTTATCCTAGAGTCTGACAAAAACAATAGGACTAGCCAGGGACCCAGGGACCTATAAGCCCTATACTACAGTATAAGTAAAGTATATAGGTGCCTGGCCTAGGCCTAGCTGCAGATCGAAAACTTACATGTATTTACCAGAAGTTGTTTCTATTCATGATTTTCCTAAAGACCATGTGGATTTACGCTTTAATTACATAAACATTCTACATTGCATATACCATAAATATATATCCAATTTGGGATATTATATCCAAAAGGGGTCATTAGATCCTCTTTCGGCAAATTTGTCCCAACCTGTCAAATGCAATGCCAATGGTTCCAAACGTTAGTATCAAATGTAAATAAGCGACACATGATTTGCATATGCATGCACTGAATAAATGACTGAACACTTAAAATGAAATTTCTACTGGGTTAAAGTAAACAAGAGCTGAAATGTGAGAAAATAAAACCTTATTGCTGTTACAACTTATTTCCGTAGCCCCCTGATCGCCATATTGTTTACAACTGCAGATACGGACTGATAAGAATAACGCCTGTTGGTTGGATAAAATTCAAAATCTGCATTACCCGCGAAAACAAGTTCAAACAGCTGCAGAAGGCATCGTTACAAGATATGGTTTTGTGTTCAATCTAAAAGAAGTTCACAGATCTTCAAAATATCATAAATACAAGCACCTATTATAAGTGGATAAAATTAAACTGTTAAATTAGTTTTTGATTTTCACTAATTAAAGATAAAATTTGGAATTTAAAACAAATGAAAAATTAATTTCATTTAAAGTTAATATGCTCCATATCAATATATAATGTATGATAGTGTTAATTGTCAATAAATAAATGAAACTGAACAAACGATGTCACTATTAAAATACTTTCACTTACAAATATCCAAGTTCTACATGACCTATGTATACTTCCCTTGAACTGTTGAAAGAGGACAATATATGAATCTTAATTTGAACAAACTTAAATTTCCCTTTATCCATCGATGCTTTGTTGCAAGTTTGTTTTTAAAAATGAAATAATCTTAAATATAATTAAAGAAATACTTATTTTGAATATATAACACACAATATCTGATGAGAATTACAATTGCATGTAAAAGCCATCTTTAAAGTTGGAGCTACCAACTTCAAAGTTGAAAAAAAAACTTTATAAAGTTAGAATTTCACCTGGAAGCTATTGGTCATGCACGTGAAGGTGAACACGTTTTTCTATAATATTGGGCCTGAGATCACTCAATCAGAGAAATAGGAAATATATTCAAGCGTGTACTAAACATGTATTATTTTATATTTAGAATTATAGAGTCTTAAAAAGAGTACTCACTTTGCGTGAAAATAATATTATTTCATCTTACAGTTCATTTTATCCAGTCTCTAATTTAATATGTTAAGAACACAGGTGCTTGAGGACAGGACCCCCCTCCCCCTTCGATATAGACCCCATGGGCCTCTTCGTTTTTTTTTCTTCTCAGAAATAATCTTTCATTGACATATCTGTGATAAGATCTATACCAACAAATCGAAATTTACCTAAAACAAACATTCTATAAAATCTACCCTACATTCTATATATAAAAGTTAATTTATATACAGAGAGTGGGGTAGAAATTTTTATACAAGAGGCCCAAGGGCCTTGAATCGCTCTTCTGATAAATTGTACAATCTATCACTTCTATTAGAAGCCTCCAACCCTATTAGTATCATAAGACCCAAAATGCATTAACTTACAAAGTTTGATAATATTTAGCCAGTTAAGACTGAAGATGTTATAATATAATTATAAAATACCATAAGTAGGTCACAGTGACCTACCTTTTGATTGAAATTTTCTGAGAACTCAAGATACAGTAATTGACAAAGACTGATGATTCTAATTAAAGAAGTACCTGAGATATTCAAAAGTAGGTCACCATGACCTACTTTTTGGTCAACATTCTCTGAAAACCCAAGATGCATAATCTGACAAAGTTTGACGATTCTTAGCCAATTAGTACCAGAGATAATTAAATATAGCCATTGAATGTCAAAAGTAGGTCACGGTGACCTACTTTTTGGTCGACGTTATCCAAAACCCAAGATGCCTAAACTGACAAAATTTGATGATTCTAAGCCAATAAGTACCTGAGATATTCAAAAGTAGGTCACCGTGACCTACTTCTTGTTGGACATTCAATGAAACCCTAAGATGCCTCAACTGACAAAGTTTGATGATTCCAAGCCAATAAGTACCAGATATAATTAAATATAGCCATAAAATGTCAAAAGTAGGTCACTGTGACCTACTTTTTGGTCGACAATCTCCGAAAACCCAAGATGCCTAAACTGACAAAGTTTGATGATTTTAGGTCAATAAGTACCAGAGATACTTAATTATAGCCACAAAATGTCAAAAGTAGGTCACCGTGACCTACTTTTTGGTCATCACTCTCCGAAAACCCAAGATGCATCAACTCACAAAGTTTGATGATTCTAAGCCAATAAATACCTAAGATACTTAAATATAGCCATAAAATGTCGAAAGTAGGTCATCGTGACCTACATTTAGGTCGACATTTTTCAAAGACCCAAGATGCATCTACTGACCAAGTTTGATGATCGTAGGTCTGAAGGTAATCAAAATATGCGTTTTAAACAATTTGAAAACAAATGTCAACAAAATTCAAAAAGTAGGTCACAGTGACCTACTTTTTCATAAATATGTTTTAAGGTCCCAAGATGCATCAAAGTATAAGATTTGATGATTCTTAACCTCCCAGTGTCTGAAATAATGGGATTTAATGTTTTTAAAAGGGTAAGTCATAAAGTTCAAAAAGTAGGTCACGGTGATCTACTTTTAAGTTGACATTGTTTGAGGACCCAAGATGCATCAACTGACAAAGTTTGATAATCATAGGCCTTAAAGTGTCCAAAATATGCCTTCAAATCAATTAGAAAACAAATCCCCGCAAAATTTAAAAGTAGGTCACCGTGACCTACTTTTGAGTTAACATGATGTGAAGTCATAAGATGCATCAACTTACAAGATTTGATGATCCTAGTCCTTATAGTAAGCAAAATATACACGTTTTTATTAATTGTAAATTTAGGTCAACTTTGAAGTGACCTTGAGACCACGCCCTTTGCCCCAGGGTAATTCCCCGTGCAAATTTTAATCTTCGACATATCCTGATCCTTGTATGTAAGTTGGTGAAAATCTGCCTGGTGGTTATGGAGAAGATTTTTTAGCAACCAGTACTTTTGGTTTTGTTTTCCTGATTATCTCCCCTTGTTTAAGGGTCCCAACCCTTATTTTAGTACAAATGGTAGCCCTTGGGCCAAGGATACCCTGTGACAAATTTGGTACTGATTGGCCAAGGGGTTCTTGAGTTATGGCCCATATTCTAAAAAGTTTACGCACACCCCACACCGCAAACCGCACAAATGGCCATAGCATTAGCTCTTTGAGCCTTTGGCTCAGAAGAGCTAAAAATGTTAGTTTAGGCAAATTTTTTGAATTGATAGGATAGATTATATCACAAAAGTGTAATCCATATATAATTTATGTGAAAAAAAGTCTATTAGACCCGGGGGTCTATTTTGGTGGGGGGGGGGGGGCGTGTCCTGTCCTCAAGCACCTGTGGTTCAGAAAAGTGAAATATATTTATCGTTTTTTTAACCATCTAAAAGTATTAGGAGAATAATTGCTTCTCTGACTTCTGATTTCAATGAGTTCCATTTTTGAATAGTGTCGGGTATAAAAGATTTTTGCAAAGTTCTTGTTCGGTGATTGGAACCTTATAATTTTCTCAGTTTCGTGTATTATTTAATGAAACATTTTTTTTTATTCAAGAGGGAATTATTATTTAAGTTGTGGGAATATTGAACATGGTTATTAACTAAGTAGTATGCCGGAGTTTGTCTAGAGGTTCCCATCCTACCTCTAAGTATAGAGAGATTCTTCAATGCTAAAATTGGTAAACCTGTGACTATTCTTACGGCACTTAACGGAACCTTTTATACATAGGCTATCCATATCCATGCACGGATCTAGAGCCCCCCCCCCCGGAATTTGCAGAGTAAGTTACAATGGAAACCCCCTCCCAGAAAACGCGAATGCTTCCTTGAAAACGAGGGTCTGTGTTAAGTTGGTATAAAAATCCTAGGTATGAAACTTTGAAAGTCAACGACTACCCCCCCCCCCCCCCCAGTTTTTGTTTGTTTGTTTGTTGTTGTTTTTTTTTTGCTTGTCAAGAAATATTTTGGGAACTGGGGTGAACCCCCTCTCTCTCTAAAAAAAAATCCTGGATCCGCGTCTGATATCAGATTAAGTACAGTCGTCCCATACTACGGAAGCATATTCAACAACTGGTCTAATAAATGTGATGTACATTTTAGATATTTTTTTTTCTGCCAAGAGCGGATTTAAATTTTATATATAGTTTTAATACATGTAAGACGGCCGCATATATCGTAAAAAATTAAACACAGGTCCGATTTTTTTTTTTAATTAAAAAAGATAAATTACGTGATAAAATTGCACTTACTTTCACGTCCATAAATTTTGTACAATATTTACACATATGTCATGGTTGCATAAAAAGAAATGGAGCAATTGACTGAAATCTTTATTATAAATTTACACGAATCTGGATAAATATAATGAATGTACATAATGAATGAAAAAGATTAAGCATTTTTTCGGTTACAAATCAGATAATAACATTTAGGGGGGGGGGGGGTTGGGGTTTAGATTGCTCTAATACACCGTTTATACCTATCAATCACAATGAATATGAGAAGGCAATGTAATTTATGTTACTGAGTAGCTATACTCTTTGCGTTGCAATTAGCTCAATTCTTTTGTACTCCAACTCGCACAATATTGCTGATACACGTTACAGGTACTCAAGTAGTGTACTTCCAATATGATTCAGAATTTTTGTAGATATGTTTGTACATGTAAACTGCAATTTTTTTCTGCCTATGTATACATAGATATCAATTGTTTCAGAGTATTTATTCCAATATTTGCACCACAGGCGACTATAGCCACATGCTTCCCCATAAATCTTCCAGGATTCTTCATAAAGGCACCCAGAGTCATGCCAGCTGCCCCCTCAAACACCTGTACGGAGAGTTCATAAAGTTAGAATGAAATAAACATGTACATAAATACATGAACTGTTTCTAAAAATATGCTACATTGAAAAGTAAAATTCAGTAAGATCGTACGTCAATCTGTGTTAACGTATAAAAAAATTACGAACTATTATACCTTTTGATGGTGCTGTAACATGTACACAATAGCTTTTCCTATTTCTTCTTCTGTGACCATTATCCAGTCATCAATATATTGATTACACAATGGGAATGTTATCTGAAATTTTTTTTTTTAAAAATGGAGCTAAACCCCCAAAACCATAAATATATTGGTAACATATACAGAATATTTACAGGAAGAGGTACAATTTATTTTGTTTTTCAACAGGCACGTAGAATCGGGTATGTGCGTGTGTGTGTGTGTGGGGGGGGGGGGGGAGGTTAGGGTGCTTGCCCTCCCTTTTTTCCAGACATACATGTATTAAATTTTTCTATAGGAAATGTTCATTGAAAGTCCAGTTGCCCCCCCCCCCCCACTTTTCTTTGCAGTGTTGTCAAATAAGGGTAATACAAGAGTAATACAGAGTTTGAGTAAAAGTTTGGTAATAAAAGAAGTTGGAATCTAACCACCCCCACCCCAACCCCCCATTATTATTCCCACCAAGATTTTCGAGTTTTGACATTTTTTTTTTTTTTTTTTTTTTGCTTGTCAAGTTGTTTTCAGGTGAGTTAAGTCCCCCATCCTTCAGATTCGACACACACATTTCGAAAACACACACATTTTATTCCTCAAATTGCATATTAAACATTATGTCTAATTGTACCTCACAATGATAACCTGTTACCAAGATAGCTTTTAAGAAGCTAGTATCACTGTATAGCTGCAGAACTGTAGCGTTATGGTTTTATTTATTAGTCTTTGACCATAATGCTACAGATCCCGTAATGCAAAAAAGGTGCAATTTACGGCGCAAGATTTTTTGCGCACTTTTGGGGAGAATTTCTCCACATCACAATTGGTCAATCAACTACCTTTCACTCCCTAATTCTAGACACATTCTTTCACCAATCTGTATATTTTATCCACCTTCCAACACTTGAAGGTCGTCTCTACTAGTGATAAACTCGTTTGATTAGAATTGTATGTTGGATTGCTGAAAATTCACTTCGAGCGAGTTTATCGCCTGTAGAGACGACTTTCAAAATTTTTTTGAAATATACAGATTGGTTAAAGAATGTGTCTCGAATTCGGGAGTGAAAGGTAGTTGATTGACCAATGGTGGAAAGTGGAGAAATTCTCCCCGCAAAAATCTTGCGCCGTAAATTGCACCTTTTTGCATAACGGGATCTGTAGCGTTATGGTCAAAGACTAATGCATAAAACCATAACGCTACAGTTCTGCAGCTAGTATCACTGAAGCATCATTAGGCAGTATAGTACCCGTGTGATTTGTAACACCGTATAGTACACAATAATCACCGCTCAATGCTCATAATTTTATTACTAAAATCCTACCGAGTTTTCCTCCACTCCCCCTGCCGTGCCTTCAGAAAGAGTGTCCAATGATTCCTCGAACACGATCCTCCCTGCCTTCACACTCTCATACATTACCTTGGAGTTCTGTGGCTGACACCCGATGATCTGAATAACAACCAAAAAAAGTAGAAAGTATTATCAAGAGCAAGAAGATATATAAATTATGTTTAGTATATATACGTTATAAAATTGTTTCAATTTAAGATTACCTCAACAGATGGCTTTACTTGCTTGATGTACCTGGCTATTCCAGCTATTAATCCTCCTCCCCCAACTGGGACCAAAACGCTGTCCACATCAGAAAAGTCCTCCAGAATTTCTATTCTGCAATTAATCATGACTTCCAACTAATAAAACGTTCATAATATACACATACAACGATAAGATGATCAACTCACCCGATAGTTCCTTGCCCTGCAATGATGTCAAGATCGTTGTATGGAGAGACGTATTCTGTATTTTGCCTCTGGAGAGGAGAAAATATCAATAATAAAACAAAAACATTTTTTTTTTTATCTCTAAACTATATTCGTTGTATACACCTATACAGTTATTTTAAATATGTGATCATTCTAAAAATAACTAGTGCTAATTGTAACGGGAACCGTTACAGATGTTCCCCAAACGCTCCCCAACTCCCTTTTGGTGCCATATTCCCTGTAAGCTTCATTAAATAAGACAAACTCTGTGCATTTTTTACTTTAACAACGTTTTCCCAAAAGGATACCAATTATATTCAAATTTTAGCATTGCACCCGAGCGCATGTGAATGCATGTGCGTTATGACCATATCATCTTGTCTACACTCTCTCTATATTTTAATATACTATATATTAAATCATTCAGTCAAAAGGAATAAAAATCACTTATTCAAGTGTATTTTTACTAATACTCGTTCCAAATGCACGCACGTGCGTGCACGTGCATGCACGTGCATGATGACCCTACCTTCTTTTAGGAGTCCCTTACATCTATCTATGTTCTAAATCCCATCCAGTTTGGTTGAAAAACAAGGGAGTTATAGCCATATAAAGTTTTAGCCAATCAGATTGCAGCACACGTGCATGCGCGTGATTTCATCATTTTTTTCTATGTCATATTTTAAGATATCCTAATGCATGACTATGTTTTAAATTTCAAAGCATTTCGTCAAAAAACAAAGGAGATATAGCCATTTAAATTTTCAGCCAATCAGATTGCAGCACGCGCGCATGCGCATGCTTTCATGAAAATTTTTATATATCATGCTGTAGATCTTCATAATGTAGGACTATGTTCAAAATTTCAAAAGATTATGACAAGAAACAAGAGCGAAGCGCACGTGCATGCGCGTGAGATCTTGCTATTTTTACCATGCCATCTTGTCTATACTACTAATGTATCCTTACAATATGAGTTTCAAAAAAATTCATCAAGAAAAAGAAAAGTTACAGCAATATCCATTATATTGGTCATTTTTCGTGTTGCACGTGCGCGCTCTTGCAAGCACGTGCGCGCAAAATGACCTTCGTTCGGCAAATCTACATAACATGTCTACTGACCCTAAAAACATTTTACCTTAGTCGGATGTGTAGTTTACAAGATCACTCGTGGACAAAATTTTCCCAGGAAGAAGAAAAATAATAATAATAATAATAATAATAATAAGAAACAGAGTAAAAACAATATGTTCCCCAACTTCGTTTGGGGAACATAATTACTTCAGCGCTTGATCTAGCCTCGTTTTCGGCTTCCACACAATCATTCCCGTGCAGCACGACACGCACTCCTCTATCTTGTAAGGCAGTCCTTTTATGTTCGCTAACATCCTTATAACAGTATACTGTGATTGGAATTCCCAGTTTCATCCCCGCCTCAACCTTTAAATTTAAATGAACTTCCTTCATCTACATCTTTTTTACAGCTATAAAAAAGGCGAGGATCCGCTCCTCAGCTTCCTCTCCATGAAATGGGAGGAGCAGCGAAAAGCAACCCTTGGCTATACATAAATAGTGATGACGTTTGAATTCATTTTTTTTTCAAAGAGAATCTCAGGGGAAAGAGGTCTTGAATTCGGTCCATGAATATAAGGAATATAGCTGTTTCATAATTAAAGCACATATATTTATATGGGGTAGGTCGCGCTCTGTCCCCTCACTCACTGTGTGTTTGAATAATTTTCTTGACATCAGGCACGTAGCAACAAGGGGGGGGGGGGCGGGGGGGGGGGACTGCCGCCCCCCCACTTTTTCCCCAACTTTACTTTTACTTTTATTGAAAATGTTCATTGAAAGACCTGGCCCCCAGGTAATACTATGGTAAAGTAATATAGGAAATGCAGTATTGTATGCAAAAAAATTGGTACTGAAAGATGTCGGCATTTGAAAAAAGTTGCCCTCTAACCCTCTAACCCCCCCCCCCCCCCCCAACGAAATAGGATTTACGATTTTGGGCAATGTGCAATGTGTGTTGTTTTTTTTTTTTGCTTGTCAACTTTTCCAGGTAAGTAAGAAAAAAAATTTTTGTCTGGCTGGCCCCCCACTCTCAAAAACGATGTTACGTGCCTGACCATAATGACGAGCGTCGAGGGGGGAAAGGCTCTATCTCAATGAACCATAATTTTGTTCTGTCATTACAAATAATTGCAAGATAATTACACAGGCCATTCCATGGTTTCCAGAGGATGCTGTGATTATCCCTCTTTCCTTGACTGTGTCACTATCAGACGACATCTTCAACAACTTGTTAAAAGCACCACGTATTTTGAATGACCCCGTCAATTGTTCAGTTTCTGAAAAAATTAAGAAAGAATTGAGCTTGGATTGATTGATTGTATATTGCTATATAAGCCCCATTTGAGAATTTTTCACTCGTGTAGAGACATTACCATACATGTATACCGGTGGCGGTGAAGGGCTTCAAATTTTGACCTATACTCGGCATAGCTGCAGATCTGTAGCGTTAAGGTTTTATATATTAAATTTTGTCTTTGACCATAACGCTACAGATCCCGTAGTGCAAAAAAGGTGCAATTTACGGCGCAATATTTTTTGCGCTCTTTTGGGGAGAATTTCTCCACTTTCCAGCATCGTTCAATCAACTACCTTTCAACAATTCTAGACACATAATTTAATCAATCTGTATATTTTATCCATCTCCCAACCCTTTATAGTCGTCTCTACAAGTGATAAACTCGCTTGTTAGATTACTGAAAATTCATATCCATGCAGCGAGTTTATTGCCTGTAGAGACAACTATAAATGGTTGGGAGGTGGATAAACTATACATATTGGCTACAGAATGTGTCTAGAATTAGGGAGTGAAAGGTAGTTGATTGACCAAAGCTAGAAAGTGGAGAAATTCTCCCCAAAAGAGCGCAAAAAATATTGCGCCGTAAATTGCACTTTTTTTGCACTACGGGATCTGTAGCGTTATGGTCAAAGACAAATATATAAAACCATAACGCTACAGATCTGCAGCTATACTCGGCACTGAGGACCATTGAACAGTGAGGGATCTCTATTGTGCAAACCGCAGCAACCGCCTGTCGTGTCACGGGACCTCGGTTTTTTAAAGGTCTCAACCGAAGAACTTGCAACTTTCACTTCAAGTGAAGAGCGCAAGGCGAAAATGCTACCCATTTTAATCGACTTAGGTTAGTTACGGCCGAGATTCGAACTCACGACCTCCCCATCACGGAGCAAGCGCTCTACCCACTGAGCTGCCTTGAAAAGTAATTTATAAACTTGGAAGGTGTTTTATAAGCGCAGTTTAAATTGGGTTTAGTGTATACATGTATATTATTACTATTGAATTGTATACATACTGTATATTATAAGTTGTATAATTATACAGTGTACATGTATATACCGGTATGTATATTTTTCACCCATATTGAGACGCCACCCCTTGTCGGTAGAGAGCTGCTAAATTTGACCCATACTCAACACTAAGGACCATTGAGCAGTGAGGGATCTTTTTCGAGCCAGCATCTACTGCGACACGAGACCTTGTTTTATACGGTCTCGTCCACAGTGGGATTCGAACCCGCGACGTAAGGATAAACTCCTTACACCGCGACTCTAGACCAGGCGCTCTACCAATGCGCCACGCGGGCGACAGTTGTATTTCTGATTTCAGTTAAACGTCGGTGCGAGGGAGTCCCGGAAGCAGTTTATGATTATGTAAAATCATAATAATTATAGTTAATACATGTATTTTTATGTATACATTGTACCATGTGTGTATTGGGGGCATTTGATTTAATTAAAACATGCAGCTCTTTAAGAGACTGCATTACCTGTAATGTTGTGAAGGTTGAATTTGCGGGTGACAGTAATCTATCAAATGATTTTTCGATCCATTATTTCCCAATCATGATAATAAGGACTGAGCACACGGAAGGTGTGACAGGTCGGCAGGGGATGACCACTCCTCCATGACACCTGATCCCACCTTTGATGTTTTAGAAGTCCGTGTTTGCTCTGCTCCAATTTTATATTGTTTAATGAACTTTTGAGCCTGAATACTGCTCGTTATATCCATATATTTCACCTACTTTATGAGTTATTTAAAATGTATTAAACTTGCGCTCCGTAGTCCCAAATAAACAAAGATATATATGTACATGCATTACCTTATATATCATTCCATAGGGGTCTCCGATATTTAATATGTCGGTTTTTACAGTTAATGCTTGTAATAAAGTTTTTTTTGTACTTACCGAGTTTGATTTTTACTTTGCAGTCACTAGCCAATTTGCTGAGTGGGCGTGAAAACATCAGGGGTGTTTTGTAAACATATTGCTTGATCCGCCAATGTGCTTCCAACGTTTTCTGTACCAGATCCTCCATTGTTTTCACTAAAAACCTGAACAAATAGCATTTTAACAATATGAGATAAATATTACTAAGAAATGAGCATGCCTAGTTTATTTCAAAGTGGCACTTACTCACCTGTAAACACTGGCCGGTAAAGACACCGTACGTATACTTATAATTTGGACTTTGTAAAGGGTTTCAAGGTTCCGAAAAAAGAAGATTAATTAAAATCAACTACTTGTTTAACCGTTTAGTTCGTATTTTTAATTTCCAAAACCCAAGAGAAAACAGGACTTGATAACTATGGGGAAATGCTAGTGCAAAAAGTACATGTATATTCTTCTAGGACTGTTTTTGTCCGGCGTGCGTTCTTTAAACATATTTTTTTGAACATATGATTTCAAATTCTTTACATTTATAAATTGCTGAAAAAAATTTCAACAAATTTTTAAATGATCATTGGTGAAGGGATATAAAACGCCACTATTTCTTTAAAATTCCCCTTTAATTTCTGTCCTGGGTATTTAGCAGACATATATGGCAAGCCAAATTCACAATTTGCATTATTATCAATTCTTAATCAAGTAAAAGTGACCTTGGAACCCCCCACCCCCATCCTAGAAACCACGGAATTCTCCTGGAAAACACAGATACATGTTGTATATGTAAAATTGGTATGAAAAGTCATTCATATACATCTTGAAAGTCAACGAATAAACCACCCCCATTTCTTTTTTTTTGGAATGGGATTGAAAGCCCTAACCCTTACCGTTCAAAAGTTATGGTCAAGGCTAAAGTTTGTTCATAAGTACAAAAACCTCCAAGGTCAAGGTCAAAAGGTCAAAGTTGTTGGTATCCAATGACAGGTCTTGTCACAAAGAATACATATGTGAAATATGAAAGTCTTAGTTTCCACCATTCAAAAGTTATGGCAAAAGTAATTCTTGTTGAAGGGTTATGTTTAAGGGTTAGGGTAAGGTTGACCTTGGAGTTTGACCCATTTTTACACAAAAAATTCCAAACTTTTACTTTGGGCCTAATTTTTGAATGATAGATACTATGAATTTCAAATATCAATTCTTTGTGGCAAGACCTTTCATTTGAAATCAACACTTTTGACCTTGGAGATTTCCATACTTACGAAAAAACTTTAACCTTGGCCATATCTTTTGAATGGTAAGGGGTAGGGCTTTCATGCTTCACATATGTAATTCTTGTGAGAAATCCTTTCATTGGATATCAACAACTTTGACCTTTGACCTTGACGTTTGACCTACTTTTTACAAACTTTAACCTTGGCCATAACTTTTAAACAGTAAGTGCTAGAGCTTTCATACTTTGCATATGTAATCCTTGTGACAAGACCCTCCATTGGATACCAACATCTTTGACACTTTGACCTTGGAGCTTGACCTACTTTTTAAAAGCTTTAACAAACTATAACCTTGGCCATAACTTTTGTACAGTAAGGGTCAGTGCTGTCATACACCCCATACGTAATCTATGAGACAAGGCCTTTTTTAGAAACCAACAACCTTGACCCTTTGACCTTGAACCCAGAGTTTGTCTTACTTTTAAAAACGTTAAACTTGGTCATAACCTTTGAACAGGTGGTGCTAGGGTTATATATTTCACATTTGTACTTCTTGAAAAAAAGGCCTTACTTTAGGTACCAACATATTTGATCTGCATTTAAAAAAGCTTAACCTTCGCTGTTGCCATACGAGGGCATCTGTGTTTCACAAACACATCTTGTTTGCAATTATAATCATGTGGGAGGCCCAGGGGGTGGGGGGTTTCATTTAGTAAGCCCAGTGCTCACAGTACCTCTAGTCTTGCTAGTTGATTATAGAATATATCTTTCAACATTTTCAAGAACAGATTACTGCTACCCCTCCCCCCCCCCACCAACCAGTGTTTCCCCTAAGTCCAAGAACAGTTTTTTTTCTGTAGGGGAGATTTTTATTTGTTCAATACAAAGACCTTGGGTTATGTTAGGATAAAAACAGGGAATCCATGAGATTAACAGCTAGTAATGATTTATGCAGACTTTCTTATATACAGTGTTGTTTTAGATATGTTTACCGATTCATGACATATACTTGTATATGATCATCATCCCCAAATACAGTAAAGCATGCATATAGCAAACATATATATAATGAACTGACACTTATAATGAAGTGATTTTCATTTTTTCATGGGTTTTAAACATATTGTGAAGCTCACAGATATAAAGAATTATGTTTCAAAGGAAGCAAAATTGCCTGTTTCTGGCACTTCATTATAACTGTGTGTTACTGTACACCGATCCAGTTTATTTCCTGACAGGTTTTCACCTGTCACTTCCAGGGCACAGCACATACTATACAATATAGCTGAAAAGGCCTGACCAGGATTTGATCCTGGGGTCCATTTTACAAAAGAGAACTTACGACAAAGTCCTAAAATTCTACTTAAAGTTGATTGTAAAACTTTGCAATATTGATGATTGAGTTTTTAAATTTCATGCAAATAAGAAAGTTATAAGCTGAATAAATTTTGGTCTTAGTTATAAGTTCTTTTGTAAAACGGGTCCCTGAACTGCAAGTCAGATGCTTTACCCATTGAGCAATTTGTTCACAAAGCCATTAGGCTCCCCTGTCATTCTATCTAAATAAACAAATGCTGAAAAAAAAAGTTTATTTCAAATATTTTAAAGTTTGTCAATCAGATTCATATATTTCTAACAAATTTATGTTCATTGTCCAGTTATGCAAAGAGTTCCTGATCACATACTTAACTGTAATGCATCAGATAAAGTTCGTTTACATGCTTCTGGTACATCAAGTTTTATTATATTTTGTAACTGCCTTTCCACATACTCTAGGTTCACATGCTTTATAAGTATCAAACACTGTGTGCTCAATTCCTCAATATTGTGAATGAGTTCAAAGTCGTACTTATCCTTATCAGATACATCAATTAATAATTTCACCAAGATTTTCAAAATAAAATCAACATAACGAGGCATTCGTGGCCAAGTAGCTATAATCACTGACTTCAGCAATCTAAGAATCTGTGGTTTAGCTGAGTGCCTCTTTCCGTCATAGACTTCTAAGTACTCCTCAATGACTTTAAAGAGGAGGTTTGTGTGTCTAAGTGTAAGGAGGCCAAGTTTCTCTATAAAGTAGGTCAAATGTCCAGTTAGAGCAATCCGCAGGCTCAGATTTTGTTCTCCATATGCGTCTGTAAGGATGGTGTGGAAGATTTCATCGTACTTGGTTGGTACTCTTTGGAGTCCCTGGGGATCAGTGCAGTATTGTGGATCCTTTTCCACCACTGACAAAATGTAAAGCAGAGCTGGGTGTAGGGTATCTATGAGTTTAGCCTCCCTGGTGTAGAGCTGATGTTTCAAAGCCTCATAAATAACATCAGCTTGTCCATACCATCTCAGCTCTTCCCTGCTTGTGTTCTGCATTATGTGATACAGACAAGTTACACCTAAAATTTTGTTTTCTAACTCATGGTCATCAATGAACAAAAGAGCTGTGGGAAGAAACTTTGGGAAAAGTTCACTCATATTTGGAAATTTTGTATGAAGTAAACACCACTGATAAACCACTTTGAGGGAAGGATAGCACATCCAGGAATCCCGCCTAAGTTTCTCATTCAAGTGTTTAAGAATAAAGAAGACCACAGAAGAAAGTTGACTTTTTGAAATTTTGTATTGCAGCAGCTCTTCATTGTTGTTGACATTTAGTACATCCTTGACCTTGTCAAGCATTTCCTTTGATAAAACTAAGGATGCACTTGATGTCCACAGATCTGGATGCTGGTGTTCAATAACAAGAATGAGAAGGTTAGGTAAAGCTTTTGAGACCACTGATTTCATTTCTTCACATTCCTCATCAAGGTACATTTTGCTTAATAAAGACTTTAAAAATTCAAGAACAGATTCTGCTTTTTCTGCAACATTTAAGAAATCTTTCTTTTCACATTTTCTGTGTTGAAGATCTCTAACATAAGGAACACAGCCTTTTAAAATTAACTGTTCTAATAGGTTCTCGGCACTTGATGAGATTTTGGAAACTTCAGACACATAGTTTTTTATCCATTCTGCCGGTGCTAAGAAAATTAATTTTGATAAAATCTTGAAATATTCCAGAAAATCTCTGCCTTGAGTGTTGACAATAACTCTTATTAGCTGCTCCAGGCTGTTTGATGAACTGGAGAAAACATTCTGTGCTCCAACAGTTTTCTCCAAATCATGTTCCAAAACTAGACTCTCAAGCAAACTCTTAGCTGAAGACATGTCAGGACTGGTTTGTGCAATCTTAAAAATGGAAATAAATTATTCTTTAAAGTTAGTTTTATAAACATTGAAAATATTGTCTAATAACATGATAAAGCACAGGAAATTAATTCCATCACTGAAAAAAGTAGATAAGGCAAGTAATGAACAGCTACTGCCTAGGACACAGTTTTACAAATTTGAACTTTCTTTAGACTACATGGACTAAGACCAAAATGTTATTACTTTACATTAATATTTTGTGCGCAATAAATATAAAGTTTTTCTTTCAATGGGTAGCACTGTAGCTCTCTGGTCTGCCATTGAATATATATTTTTTCGGAGAGCTACAATTATGCAGCTACTGATAGTACGTGCCTCCAACTAAAAATGGCAAACAAGGTAAGTAAAGCTATATATTTAATTCAAGATATGTAGATAAATCTAGTGATTGTACAGGGAATTTGTACCATCTATGCATACCTGATGAACAGGTCCAGCACAATACCTTGATAAAGGATATAGCTAGATAAAGCTATACACCTTTATCAAGATATTACAAATACCTTGATAAAAATATTTTATGTAAAGAAAATAAAAAAAAATCTTAAAAAATCAAATTTAAAAGTTGAATTATGAGTTGTGGTCAGTGTGTTCACTCGTGCATGAAAAGTACTCGGGTTAGTTAGAATAATCTAACTGTGTCTCGGGACAAGCCCTCACCACAGTTAGAATACCACCCATATACTCGCAATGTAGCAAAAAATTGCAGAATCGCTCCGAAACGATTTTGAAGGATACAAACGGATTTGCACTGAAAATAACTTATAAATTAATCAAAACAAACCTTTTTGGGGATGCGTAAGTATTTAAACCTAAAGTTTAGTCTAAATAAAGACGAAAATTCAACTAATTTTCTCAACGTTTTTTCTTGCTTTAAATTTACAGGCCATGTTTATGTT